GAATGTTAAGAGATTCGATTAAAAATAATAATTAATAAATTAAATTAAATTAAAAATAAAAAAGACTGCAAGTGACGTCACTCGCGGAAGTGCAGGTGTGTGAGAGCATAGACATAATAAATACCTAGACACCTCATTGGCCGCTTTGAGCCGTTGCTGCGATACGTCAACGCGTCCGCCATGTTTGTGAAGGCAAGACTGCCTTAAAAATAAATGGAGGTAAACGGGGGAGCTGCGGTTTTTTCTGGATAAAAACAGAAAATGTTTACATTTATCAACCGATTTCAGAGGTTTGTGATCTACATGGAGTTAAAATAACTCTGCCTCCAGTTATTTAGTTAGGTTTGGAAAATTATTAATTTTCGTAAGAAATTGTGAAAACACACTTGTCTCACTTGTTGATTTGATTGATTTTTTCGGTTTACAATTCTAATGTTAATGTAGTATAACTGTGACATATACATGTTTTGTCATTTGAATGTACATTAAATGAAATTAAGTTGTTTCATTGCTTTCTCTGTCTTTCTTTTAATTTTTTAAAAAGGTTTTAATTGATTTTTTTATTAGCATTATGTTTATCTAAATCCTGTCTGTATGAATGTAATTATTTTTACTGCAACTAAACAACAATCAGAAATCTCTTATATTGTTACCATTTGGTGTCCCCTCAGTAAGACTCCTTTTTCATTTTAATTTTATTTTAGTTTGTTTTATTTTATGTTGTTCTATTTTATTCTGCTATAAATACTGTAAAACTTTTTGATGACTAATGTTTCATTTCTGGATGAACTAATCATTTCTCGAAAGGTCCACAGGGTCAGCCATGCTTGAAAAAATAGCTGAAGAAATACCCATAAATGGTTATGCATGACATCACATTTCTTACAAGTCTGAAATCTTGATCAAGAAAAGGATCAAGATATGAGCGCTGCCAAATGAGGAATGGTCAGTTTGTTTTAATTCGTGAAAGCACTGGTGGCATTCAGAAGATTGAGACACACCTGTGTACCTGCAAAGATGCTGAACGTCAGATTATCTGCATCACAGACCGGATGTTCAAACCTCACACGCAATCATATATGTGATCACTCGACATTTACTGGCATTTTGCTGCAAGCTTGATGGAAAATGTGATTATTTTGACACACTTATGATCATATCCTACTTAAGAAATTCATATGTAGGTCTACAAAGTAACTCAGGACACTTAAGACTCTAGTTATTTACACAAGACCATTAGTCTTCATCTCATTCTCCAAATCAGTTGCTGAATGGTTTATTAATCATGCATTGTATATTTTTTTTGCAGGTTTTAGGAGTGAATAATATTTTTACTAATCCTCATCACACATGTACACAGAAGCTGTAAATTATTCACACCCTGATGTAAATATAATATTCATTAAATACATTTTAATAAACGTCTCATCAAACATCGTTTAGAGTGGCAGAGAAACTGCTGCCCTCACACACACACGCCATCACTGGACTTTTGTAATAGCAGGTTGACTTTTTTTCTGTCACATACATCACAGAGAGCTGGCAGACCCTCCCTGCAGGGTGGGGAGAGAAATATGAATGAGAAATTATATAAAAGACGGTATAAAAAGAAATCCAACAGTACTGGAGCTCTACCTGTAGACCTCTCTCACCTCCCACCATGGAGTGGAGAACATCCACAGTCTGTATACTGAATAATATTTGTACTAATCCTCATCACACATGTACACAGAAGCTGTAAATTATTCACACCCTGCTGTAAATATAATATTCATTAAATACATTTTAATAAACGTCTCATCAAACATCGTTTAGAGTGGCAGAGAAACTGCTGCCCTCACACACACACGCCATCACTGGACTTTTGTAATAGCAGGTTGACTTTTTTTCTGTCACATACATCACAGAGAGCTGGCAGACCCTCCCTGCAGGGTGGGGAGAGAAATATGAATGAGAAATTATATAAAAGACGGTATAAAAAGAAATCCAACAGTACTGGAGCTCTACCTGTAGACCTCTCTCACCTCCCACCATGGAGTGGAGAACATCCACAGTCTGTATACTGCTTCTGGCGCTTACCGGGATTCAAGTTGATTCAAAGACGGGTAAGACTTAACTTTCAGTCAGAAAAAAACTCCTACTTGAAATGATTCTTGAGGTGTTTCATCTGTCTTGTTTATTTTATTTTATTCTTTAATACTCTAAAATCTTTGATGATAAATCTTTTATTTTTGGATGAACTAATTATTTTCCTAAAGGTCCACAGGGTCAAACATGCCCATATTTGAATAAATACCCACAAATGTGTTTTTTATTATTTTATTTTATTTTTTATATTATTTAAAAAATGTTTAAGTGTGTTAGAATTTGAGTATGAACATCAGTTATTAAGTAAAAAAAAAAAATTTTTAATTCACAGCTTTTTTAAAATCATTACATGTTTCTTGAGGATTGTAACCTTGACCATGGCAATGTTGGTGCAAATAGCTTGATGATGTGGTTGGAAACAGCATTGGTATCAGCATCTGGAAAGAAAAAGAAAAAAGAACCAACTAGCTGATGACTGTTGTGAAGATCATAGTTTCATCACCTGACCCTGATGCTATCAGTGCCATTGATGACTTGCCTTAGAAGTTACAAAATATTTTCAGTTGTGAAAAAGTGACAAAGTTGATTTACTTCCCTTCATGGTGACTTGAAGTTCAACTTGATCAGCTTTGCATAAATTTGTGGATTGACTGTTTTAGTACAAATGTAAAAGTGACCAAATCAGGAATTATCTGAGAATGTCATTTGAATTACTGAATTTTAATTGAGTTTGCAAACAGAGAGCATAATTGTAATTAAAGTTTAAGGACATACTGTATAATTCAAATCTAAATACATTTATATAACTGCTGTAAGCATGGATTTTTAATAATACATTACATGTTTTACATACATACATTATTTCAGTGATCAACATTTGAAATGCCACTTATAGAAATGTGTATTTAATTTATTTTTAATAAATTATATTTAAATTTATGGGCTGTGGTAGAAGAACAAAAATTCCCCAAATGCTTTAAATTATCTCAAAATTTTCCAAATTAAGTCAAACTTTTCCTTTTTTTTTTTTTTGCAGTCTATCCCAGTAACCATATCAACAGCATCTGTAGCATGTGGGGAAACTTCCACTTCAAGACATTTGATGGAGACGTGTATCAGTTCCCAGGCACATGCGAGTATAACCTGGTGTCTGACTGCCAAAGCCTCATTCGCCAGTTCTCGGTTCACGTGAAGAGAACAGAACACAGCACTGGCCCAAACATCAGCAGGGTGTCGATTACCATCAATGACATTGGTGTTGAGTTGACAGAGAAACAGGTCACAGTCAATGGAAAAAAGTAAGATTTTGGGAAACCCATCTGGCTGCTTATTTGCTCTCACAGCTTTAAAAGGCTTTAAAATGTATTCTGGTTGGTCAATCTTACATTTGAATCTTTTCTCTTGTTCAGAGTAACGCTGCCTGTGCACGTCGCAGGGATTCTTGTGGAAGAGAACACAATTTACACCAGACTCTATTCCAAAATGGGTATCACTGTCAAGTGGAATAAAGAGGATGCTGTTATGGTGAGGTTATAGGCTAGTGTGGCTCATCATGAACTCAAAATGACTCTTACAAAAGTACATATTTAACTACAGGTTTTTTAAATGGATATCAGAATTATTTAAGATACAAACCTAAAATACACTTAACTTGCTTAATTCCTTCCAAGATGGACAACAGTTCAGTAATTGAGTCAGATAAGCGATTCGTGGATAGAATCGGTACAAACAATATGAGTCATTTGTTAGTTCAGATTATACTGCTATGTGCTATCGCTCTGTGTTTTTGATTCACTAAAAGAACCGGCTCGCATGAGTCATTTGTTACTGAATCGTGCTTGCGCAGCTTGTTTTTAATTCACTAAAAAGAACCGACACGTAAAAGTAATTTTGACATTTTGAGTATGTTTTGATTCACTAACAAGAACCGGCTCATAATAGTTCCTCAAGCGGACCACACTTCTAGAGCTGAATTTCTTTACTGGACTATAAAGAACCGAGTCATTTGTTAATGAATCGGGCCACGCATCTAGCGCTGAATGGCTTTTATTCACTAAAAAGGATAAGCTATTAAGAGTCGACATTTCTTTGTGAACATGCTGCATGTTTGTTTTAGCCCACGAAAAAAATACATTAGAACGACATGCTTTCTTTGCATGAATTTGGTTTCATGGTTTTTAATTTTATCCTATCATTACCCCAAACTATCATTCGAAGCTTGGGTAAAATATGATTTATATAGTTGTGGCGCTGTATATTCGTTAAAGGGTACATAGATCTGCGTAAGAATTATGCTTTTAAGATCGGAAAATAATCCAAATTTTAATTGGTCAATGCAATGTCAATCACCGTATTTTCCGTATGTCCCACCTGAATACCAACCTCACTGATGGGCGGGACTTTACAGCAAACTGTTAATAATTGAAACGGCGAAATACATGATAGACAGACCCAGTACTTTAAAATCACGTTGGAGATGGCGTTTTCTAGTCAGAGGTAGACAAAATGTTTAAGAACAGGTGTTTGGCTTTTATGGCTTTAAATTTGACGTTTATAATCTTTTTGAGAAGTTGAAGGAGCAAAATTTATTTATTGCACAAGTTTTTAATTGAGATATAACTAGTTTACGCCACAGGAAACCAGTAGGAGACATTTCAAGGGAGTGACCAGACTGAATGATTTAGCATATTGTGCAAGACGAAGCAACATGTGAAGTGAAACTATATAAGGCAAAGTTCTGTTACACACTGAAATGTACAGTAGCTATATCCGTCCTTATGAACATGGTTGTTTCCTATACTGAATTTCAGTCTGCAAGTAATATTCACTGGTGTATACTGAGAAAAACGAGTACCATGCAAATACCATGGTATATATAGTATAATTTGGTACCATTGTATTATTACCATCATTGTACCATGGTACTGTTTCCAAGGGCTGGCACTGGCCTTTTCCCACAAGACTGAACACAAATGGTGTCTATTCCATATTCCAGTGTTTTGCTTGCTCTGATCACATAACATTAATACTGACATAAAATCCAAATGGCCAAAAATATTGTCAAATGATCTAACAATGAAGTTCTATGTGGTCCTTTGTTAGGTGGAACTCGACTCCAAATATTCCAATCGCACTTGTGGGCTGTGTGGCGATTTCAATGGCGTCCCAGTTTATAGTGAGTTCATTGAATCCGGTAAGTCACTTTTACAGCCTGATTTCTTAGTCATTATTTGGCCAATTATGAACAGTATAAATGATTATTCCATCCTCATGGATTTCTAATTTGATGAATCTCCAAGAGTTTTAAGAATATCCAAGATATCCAAATGTCTTATTTATTGCAGGACGGAAGGTTGGCTATGCTGAGTTTGGTAATATGCACAGAGTTCCCAACCCAACACATGCCTGCAAAGATCCTTTTGAAACCGACGATGAACAAAATGTGGAGAACAAATGTGAAAAATTTGTAAGTTACAGAAGAAAGTTGATAATTTCAAATTAAATTTGTTAGTCACTCCCTCTATGTCCCAACAGCAACTCAGAATTCCAGTATTGTTACCTAATATGAACCTTTGAGATTCAAGATATTTCATGTCCTTTTCACAACAGCAGGCAGATTGTGCAGACCTTTTGAAGGATGAAAAATGGTCTTCTTGTAGCTGGGTTTTGAACAGTGAGCCGTATATCAAGGCCTGTACAAATGATATTTGCTTACGTCAACCTGAAGATGAAGACACCGACACCTCTGTGCTCTGTGCGACGTTGTCTGAATATTCACGTCAGTGCTCTCACGCTGGAGGAACTCCGCCGTCCTGGAGAACGGCAAACTTCTGTGGTAAGTACCTTGAGAATTCCAGTGAAAATGATGGGATTCTTCTCTCTTGAGCTGTTCCTTTGTTTTTATTCCTTATTATTAGCAGATGTAAAGACTCTGTGTGTCTTGTATTCTCATGCAGCTGTGACATGCCCGTACAATATGGTACATTCTGAAAGCGGCTCCCCCTGTATGGACACATGCTCACACAAAGACACAAACACACTGTGTGAGGAACACAACATAGATGGCTGCTTCTGTCCGCCAGGTCAGTAACACTATTTATATAATATATACCATTATTTATTAATATAAACTACTGTTCAAAAGTCTGGGGTAGTTTTTTTTTTTTTTTTAAAGGAATCTTTTATTCAACAAGGAAGCATTAAATTGATCAAAAGTGACAGTAAAGACATTTACTGTATGATGTTACAAAAGATTTCTATTTTTGAAGAATCCTGAAAAGAGTAAGCAGCACAACTGTTTTCAGCATTAATGATAATAAGACATTTTTCTTGAGCAAAGGATCATGGAAGACTGGAGTAATGGCTGCTAAAAATTCATCTTTGCCCCACATATATAAATTATGTTTTAAAAAATATTAAAATACAAAACAGTTATTTTAAATTGTAATAAAGTTTCATAATATTAGTGTTTTTTATGTAATTTTTTAAGAACCACATAAAGTTGATGATGCATTGTGTCTTCGTTATAGGAACTGTGTTTGATGACATCTCAAACACGGGCTGCATCCCAGCAGAAAAGTGTCAGTGCAAGCATGACCGCATCTACAGCACAGGAGAGATCCTACGCAAAGATGAGGAAGAATGGTATAAAACACATTTAACTCGGTTCTACTCTTATTCCAATTATGGATATGTATGGCACTTTTTTTTTTATCCCAGTGCATTCTGTCCCCTTTCATGTCTTTTACTACTTGTATACTTGTATTACTATTAACAGCATATACCTGACAAAATGCTAAACTATGATGGCATTGGATGTATGGGAAAAACGGCAATTTTATAAATATATAAAATCATCAGAACTGTGATTTATCTAGTTGGCATCTGAAGCTCATTGTTTAGCAGCATCTGTTTGTAATTGTATTGTGTAATTAGTATATGTGCGGAGGGAAACTGGATCTGTACGAGTATTCCCGGCCCTGGCCTGTGCACTGTAGAGGAAGGATCACATTTCACCACCTTTGACGGGAAAGAATTCACTTTCCATGGAGACTGTAACTATGTGCTCTCAAAAGTAAGAGTGTCTTAGTTACTAACTACACCTTATTTAACTGTTAAGACATGTTGGGGTTTATTTTTGTATCCATGCTTTAGGAATATGTGAAATTCCTAATAAATGTTGACGTCTGCATTTGTTTTTGTAGGACTGTAAGGAGTCCAGGTTCATCATATTGGGTCAGATTGTTCCTTGTTTTACTCATCAAACTGATACCTGTTTAAAGTCTGTTGTGGTGCTTTTTAACAACGACATGAAAAATGTGCGTACACCTCTCTACTTCCACAATCTTGTATATTTGGCTTTTATAGCAAACAAGTCTTTTTGACAGTTTGAGTGTTAATGAGATGTGCATATTACAGTACTGCTCAAAAGTTTAAGATCAGTAAGATTTTTTTAAATGTTTATGCTTACCAAGGCTGCATTTATTTGATTGAAAGTACAGTCAAAACAGCAATATTGTTAAATATTATTACAATTTAAAGCAACTATTTTTCTATTTTAATATATTTGAAAATGTGGTATATTCCTGTGATTGCAGTGTATGAAATTTTAGTCTTCAGTGTCACACTGTGCTCTTTCTTCTTCAGGCTCTGATTATTAAAGCTGACGGGACAGTACAGCACAATGCAGACGTTACACTTCCTTACATGACAGGTGAGGTAGAAGAAGCTCTTTATTTATTTTCTGTGTTTTAGAGCCTATGTGCTAAAAATATATATGAAGTGTTTTTCAAACACTTTGACTCTTTTTCTCTCAGCTGACTTCATGGTGTTCATGCCGTCATCGTTTCACATCATGCTTCAGACCAGCTTTGGGCTGCAGGTGCAGATACAGCTGGTGCCTCTTATGCAGGTGTACATCACTGTGGACCAAAGCTTCCAGGGCAAGACTTGTGGTGAGACCTCGGTCTTAAAACGCATGATAAAACATCTGAATTATAAAGTGAATCCATCATGATAGCCAATGATGTGCGATTTCTGTGTTTATGCAGGTATCTGTGGAAATTTTAACAAAGTGCTGTCAGATGATCTGAAGACCCCTCAGGGAGTGGTGGAGGGTACACCGGTTTCCTTCGTAAACGCCTGGAAGGCCCAGTCCAACTGCCCCGACCGTACTGAGAGAATGGACGACCCCTGTTCCTACAGTAGTGACAGCGGTGAGAGACTTTTTGATTCTGAAGTCAGGGTGGACAGTTTCAGTTTCATATTTTATTTGTTGTATACATCTACAGAAGGGTTTAGAAGTGCACAAATTCATTTTAACCAAACCTTAATCATAGGGCTGGGCAACAAATCGAATGCGATTTTCATGCGAATCTCGTCAGTAAAGCCGCTTCTGGCGATTAGTAGTAAATCTCCAGCACGTGCTTTCAGATGGAGCAGTATTTACTACACAAAGCCGTAGATCACTGACAAGCTACACAAAATCACGTTCAAAATCGCAGGCGATTCATTGCCGATTTTGAACGCAATTTTGTGTAGCTTGTCAGTGAACTACGGCATTCGATTTTTTTGCACAGCCCTACTTAATCAAAACCACATCAACAGCTGGCAGTATTCTTCTAATACTGTTGCATCAGCCAGTATTCATACATAAAAATAGTTGGTGCACGTTTAATACTAGTCTACACGGTATCTGTTCATGTATGCATTTTGTTGTTAAGTAGGAGTTTTGCTTAAAATACCATTGTGGACTCGAGTCACATGACTCGAGACTTGACTTGGACTCAAGTCTCAAATCTCTGAAGGCTGAAGGTCTGGAATCCATGGCAGCTTACACTGGCCTAGGCCCGCCCATGAGGCCGTTTGACCGACATGTCAAACAACCAATCACAGTTCGTTTCGTTCATCGTCACGTTTCAGGGCGTGGAAATGTCGCCACAATAACAGACTGGTGTGTAAAACTCTCGGACGTATTTTAAAGATTCTATGCCGCGAACTTTAAATATTTCACATACTTTTGAAAATCCAGCGTTTAGTTGATCCTGATAAGCGCTCGTCGTCACAGTTGTAAACACAACGGCTTTCTACTTTCGTGAGGGGATTTGGCGTCACGGCATCTTTGTTTCCAGACGGAACGTTAAAGAACGCGACATGCACGTCTGCCGGAAATCCTGTATAATTCAACCAATCCGACGACGACTTCGAAACTCCTGAAGTGTTTCCACTTTTAGCCAACAGTCCTTGGGCGTGACTGAGGCTGCGACTACGCCCCTGGTAACCAGCCTATCACAACTCTATTTTTTGTTTTTAGAAGGTAGATTCCTATATATGTATTCAAATGAAAATGGCAACATCGTTTTATAAAGTATATGCATTCATATGTGCTTCATTTTCACTGGAGGAAACCTGTGGTGTGATGTGGGGTGAAGGCAGCGAAAACTTAGATGGGGAAGGCTACAGTAGATGGGGAACCGATTGCTCCCTCATTATATTTTGTAAACTGTATTTATGACAAAGAACTGCACAGATGCAGATATTATAACAATATATCGATAAACACACACCTTGTCCTCTTTTTCTCGCTCTGCGCCGCCGCGGTCTGCGGATTGAAAAAGAATGCGCTGAAAGACGGGGAGGAGCCGATCGAAGTCTGCCGCCGTTTTCACATGAAATTTAAAGGGGACTGAGGCGATCACGAATTCGTGTACAGTTTATGGAACTAACTGCAAAATTTTAATGGCCTAGCGACGCCCATGCTGGTTACTGAAGTGTATGATCACACTGGTATGATTAGCGCAGCTTTTGGCAGTGAGCCAGAGAGGGGCTCGCCCAGTGAGCGCTTGTCAGTGTTTTCAACCACATAATGTTTTAGGCTATTTTAATGTTTCAGACATTTAAAATACACATCATCACTATAAACCATTTATAATAATAATAATAATAAACACCGATGTATATGGAAACATAATAAACCTTTCAAACATAATTAGATTTTTTTTTCACGTCAAACACACATTGTATGTAGCCTACCTGTAAAGTTAACTTTATTTTTCTTCCTGTTTACCAGCCACTCACTTCATGTCTTTCAGAAGACATGGATGAATTCACATGGTGTAAATCCGGCTACAACATGCTAGCGCACATAGCCCCTAAACCAGGGGTGCCCAAACTCGGTCCTGGAGGGCCGGTGTCCTGCAGAGTTTAGCTCCAACTTGCCTCAACACACCTGCCTTCAAGTTTCTAGTATGACTAGTAAGAGCTTGATTAGCTGGTTCAGGTGTGTTTAATTGGGGTTGGAGCTAAACTCTTCAGGACACCGGCCCTCCAGGACCGAGTTTGGGCACCCCTGCCCTAAACTAAGCCATCAACTGTGATCATTGGGAATTTGGTTGAGTCACAAAATGCATTGACTTACACATATTTGAGAATCTGAATATCTACAGTTTTGGCGTGAATAATTTTGCATGCCTCATTTGAACGGTGTGCTCGACATATTAACTCGACCCTATTAGGCAAGGCAAGGCCTAATAGGGTATGAACAAAATATGAACATTTTATTCTGAATGAAGAATAACATAAAGACAGTGCAGTGTCATGATTATAACTACTGTATATTACTAAAACGCGTTCCTTTCCGTGACAGCACGAAATTTGAATAATTTGTTGTTATCAAAATTTGTTGAAGGAATAGCCTATAAGAACATAAAATAATATACTGTAGAGCTACAAGAAAACACATTTATTCATTCCTTCCGTCTATTAAATCCATTCACTGATGGTTTCTTATTTTTATTTAAGATTTGTAGCCTATATATTATAACTATTGTTATATATTTACTTTTCAGCTTCATTAAAGCTATGTCTATTTTTGTAAACCTACGTCAGTAGGTGGCGATAAATGAGTGTCTGATTTACGTATTAGCACGTTATTAAATATTTGACTCAGCTGATTCATAAAAATCACTGAATCATTTACAAATGAAACAGTGAACATGATAGAAATTGTTCATTCACTTAGGTCTACGATTTGTTCACAAACAATGATTCATTCCTCCACGAAACACCACTAATTATTATATCTTTATTATTATTATACTTAATTATACTTACTATAGACTATTAATGACTTTAAATTTACTGTAGTAATTAATACAGAGACACTAATTTGGGCAAACAGCACTAATGACTTGTTTAGGACTTGAAGCTTAAAGTTGAGGACTTGCAACTCGACTTGGACTTGCCTATCTTGACTCTGGACTTGACTCGAGATTTGAATGCAAAGACTCAAGACTTACTTGTGACTTGCAAAACAATGACTTGGTCCCACTTCTGCTTTTAGAACACTTTGCCGAGCACTGGTGTTCCAAGATGAAGGACAAGAAGAGCCTCTTTGCCAAATGTCACGCCACTGTCAATCCAGACAGCTACTACAAAGTATGATCTGAAACAGTTGCAGATTATAGATTATAGCATTTTCTTAACCCTTTGCAACTAAGCAACCCAGTATTCATTTTATATTATTTATATTGTATTATAGCATTTATTAATATTTTGAATTAGCTTTTATTTTTATAGTTTTTTTCAGTTTTGTTTTGTGCTTTTGTTCATTTTTATAAAAAAAAAATTATATTTAGCTTCAAATCTATGACAAACTAAATGCAATTTATCCCAGCTTCCACAACATGTCTATGTGCTTTCAGAGATGCAAATACTCCAGCTGTACCTGTGAGAAGAGTGAGGACTGTCTGTGTACGGTGTTCTCCTCATACTCCCGGGCCTGTGCGGCTAAAGGAATATTCCTTCAAGGCTGGCGAGAAATCGTGTGCGGTAAGATGGCTGAAAACGTAGATGGATGCATGATGGGAAAATTTCAGTGAACAAAACATCAAAAGTATTTTATTCTGCTTTTGGTCGAAAATCGTGTGATTAATTGTGACTTTGTTTTACACACTAACAAAGAAATGCATAGAATTTTATACAGTGTACAATTTTTCCTTTGCACTATTTTATTAAATTTATTATAAAAATCTGTCAAATTTATTATAAAAATGTGATATTAAATACATTTGAAATTAATTCTAAAAGTTCAGGTGTTTATATCTTGGATTAAAAGTAAATATTTTCCAGATAATATTTTATTTTAGTACAATGATAATGAGCCGATGCCAACTTCATGTCATTATAATATAATGCTTACCATTTTTCACACACTATGTAAGTATATAAAAATATATAGCTGGCTTTACGTTTTAGGAAGGGCATCCTTTACAAGTGGGATCATCATATTTGGGTGTGTCAAAGAGCTAGAAAATCCCTCATCTAACCTAGAAGATTAGAAGAATGCTTATGTAATTTTGCTACATACATCTTTAAGACTCTTCTCTAAGCATTTCAAACTGGTCCCTACAGAGAAGTATACAGAGAATTGCCCGGCCTCGCAGAACTACTCATATCAGCTGCAGAGCTGTCAGCGTACCTGTTTGTCTCTTGCCTCTGAGCGCCAAAGCTGCAGTGTCGACTTCGTGCCTGTTGATGGATGTGCATGTCCAGAAGGACTCTACCAAGATGAGAAAGGACTGTGTGTACCTATGGAAAAATGTCCATGTTACCACAACGGACAGAAAATTAATCCCGGCAAGTCTGTCACCATTAGGGATGAACACTGGTAAGTGAATGATAATATAGGTATTAGTGCACTAGTTATACAAGAACTTTGATTTTAATAGAGTTTGATCTTATTTCTCTGTCCAGTGTTTGCATGAATGGAAAACTCCACTGTCGTTCCTGGAAAACCCAAACTCTGGGTATGAAAAATTACTTTCATCTACTGCTTAGGTTAAATAAGTTTGCTTTTGGTTTACATGGACTACCATCACTAGTACTGGGCTATCATGGCATCTGCAACCAAGGCATTATAGAGTTATCTAGTCAAATGTGATATTAAAATTAACTGGCTAACCAAGGTTTTGATAACCAACAACAGTGAATAATAAATAGTGGTCAATTAATATGGATTTTTAATGGCCAGAACTGATATGTTAGAGAACAAGGTGGCCGAAGGCAAATATGTGACCCTGGAGCACAAAACCAGTCTCAAGTCGCTTGGGTATATTTTTAGCAATAGCCAAAAAAGATTTTTCTTTTATGCCAAAAATCATTAGGATATTAAGTAAAGATCATGTTCCATGAAGATATTTTGTAAATTTCCTACCGTAAATATATCAAAACCAATAAAATTAATCGTACATAATAAATACTAATTTAACAATTATAATTTATTTTATATAATATAATATAATACAAAATAGTCATATGAAAGTACACCCTTATCTGCAAAATTGCTCAACACCTGTTGTAAACAGTCTTTAAATATGGTTTCTGATATAAAAAGTACATGAATGATGCAGCATCTGCATCTGATATCTTTTGCAGGATGTTCCTCTACGAAGATTTTCTTCAACTGCAGTACAGCAGCCCCAGATGAACATGGATTGGAGTGTGCAAAGACTTGTTTGCAACAGGAAGTTGACTGTGTGAGTGTGCAGATTCCAACATCTCTCTTTTTCTTTACCAAAGTCTATCACTTGATTTTGCTGATGGTGTTATTAGTGTGGATAACAGCATTTTGCTTGTACATAATGTTTTCTTCCCTTCTTTCCAGTTCTCACTGGACTGTCAGTCTGGCTGCCAGTGTCCTTCAGGTCTATTGGATGATGCCAGAGGACACTGTGTTAAACCGGATAACTGCCCGTGTAAACATGATGGACAGTTTTATGCACCAGGATCTAAGATAACCATAGATTGCAATAAATGGTCTGTAAAACCCTTGTTATTTTAGTATCATTAATATACTATTGTAGTTTTTATATTTTGCATTTTAATTTTAAAGTATTTGTAATTTTGTGTTTGTCATTTTTTAAACTACTTTTTAAGTAAGTTTGAATAGTTTTTTTGAATAGTTTTTATTCATTTTTATTTCAGTTTTAGTTGTTTTTTAGTACTTCAGGTTAAACTGTGCACATTATAAATGTTGCAACTAGCTTAAATAAAATAAGTTCATTAAAAAAAATTTTTTTTAGTTCAGGTAATGTTTTTTTTATTTCAAGTAATGGAAATGTTTTTTTAATTTTTTTTGTTAACAATAATAACCCAGTGTAAAACAGCCATTACCATTGCCATATTAAAGTTACATTACTATAAAACCCCTAAATAATGAGGAAATACAACCTGGCCTTTAATGATCAATAGCATAATACTGTAGAACCACAGAAGATTTGAGTCTACCTCTATATTTACAGTACTTGCCGACGGGGAAATTGGAAATGTACACATTATAAGTGTCCAGGAATATGCACCATATACGGCAGCGGACATTATAGAACTTTCGATCAGCAAACATTTGGCTTCAGGGGAGACTGCAGTTATATTGCTGCTCAGGTATGTGCATTTTGACAGAGGCTTTATTTAAATAAAATTATAAATAAAGCTCTTCCTTCAGGAGGCAACAAGTCGCATTCTCTTGTTTTGCAGAACAAGTGTGGAAATAAAACTGGCACATTTCATGTGATCACTGAGAATATGCCTTGTGGAACAACAGGAACCACATGTTCAAAGGCTGTCAAGATACTTTTGGGGGTAAGGCCACAGGCGCAGGTCTCATGCTATGTAGTTTTATATTTAGCAAAGCATTCAATACTATGGTACATTCAGAGAAAAATAATTTTTTTTAAGGGTCATGAAATACTAAAGCAAGCTGTTCGGCATGTTAACGTTATTTTTACGTGTGGTATAAGACAATAATAGTGCAAGCAATTTTATATTTAAAAGGCCAATGAAGGATTTTCCCTCCATCATCTTCAACATTTGAAAGCAATATTGAGTCAAAGTCAGTCACTGGATTGCAATGTTTGCGATTGTTTTTTTTACTTCTCTCTCACTCAGAGGACTTTACTGCTGCTTTCTGATGGGACTGTAACAGTCACTGACACTGGAAGTGGTCCAGAGATCAAGTACACTGAGAGAAACGTTGGGATGTACCTTGTCATTGATGCTAACATCGGACTGACAGTTTTGTGGGACCACAAAACCACCGTCCGCATCATTCTGCAACCTCAGCACATGGTGAGTTGAAGTCATGAATAATGATCTGCAGTTTTGTCATGTTTTGAACGGACACTTCCAGACAATTTACAACAGTCCTTCAATTTGATTTATTTGTAGCGTAACATCTGTGCTTTGTTGTTTTTTCACAGGAAGACGTTTGTGGCCTGTGTGGAAATTTCAATGGAAATGCAAAAGATGACTTTACCACTCGGGGAAATTTGCCAACTCCAAATATAATGGAGTTTGTGGACAGCTGGAAAGTGTCAAGTAATTGCCCGGATGCAAAACCAGACTTTAATCCATGCTTTGAGACCCCCAATCGAGAGACATGGGCAAAAATACAATGTAGTATCATCAAGGATATCAAGGGTCCATTCAAAGACTGCCATAACAAGGTACAGTTGCAAAGACTTTTGAGTCAATAAATGGAGTTATGGAGTTACTGACTATAATGTGGTATACAAGAAACCTACATATTTTTTAAGGATGGGAATGCTTGTTCCCACAGGTGGATCAAAACCCATTTTATGAGAACTGTGTGAAGGACTCGTGTGCATGTGACACAGGTGGAGATTGTGAGTGCCTCTGTACAGCTGTTGCAGCTTATGCTCAAGCCTGCAATGAGGCAGGTGTTTGTGTGAACTGGAGAACACCTGAGATCTGTCGTAAGCATCTTTAATTCTAGTGCGCAACTTATTCTGTAATCTTTAAAGGGGTGGTTGATTGCGATTTCAGTTTTTTAACGTTAGTTGGTGTGTGTAATGTTGCTGTTTGATCATAAACAATATCTGCAAAGTTACGAAGCTGAAAGTTCGATGGAAACGGACATATCGTCTTTTAAAATTCTGGCAGTTTAATGCCTACAAAAACGGCTCGTAAGGGACTACAAGGAGTTACTTCCCGGGTCCGTTACGTCAAGAACCCAGAATTTTACATAAACCCCGCCTCCGGGAACACACAGCAAAGGGTGCGAGGAGAGAAGAGGAAGAGAAAACTAGGGGTGCACGTAAAAATCTATTCATATATGAATC